CTGCCGGGAGAGCCACTTCTAAAATACAGAAAGGCAGAGAATATACCAGAAATATTTTGGTATTCAGTTGCAGAGGTGCTTTTTCAGTTACACTGAATATAGCTATAACTAGCATTTATAAATTCAGAACTAGATAAAAATAAAGCTAAGAAACCGTATTTTCAGAAGGGAATCTTTGGATGTCCACCTAGGTTTTCCAACTAGTCACAAAGCTCTAGACATCACTCTCCTACCTGCTCTCAGGAGCGTGCTAAATACTAGTCTGAACGAACTTACTTTCTCCTAATTCTCTTTGCTATTTAATATGTTGCTCTGGTCAGAGGATGAATGTAAATGTCATGCCAAAAGGTACTGTCTGGTTGTAGGCTGCATAAAAGGAGTAAACACAAAGGCGATCCTGCCACAAAGGGATTTCTGCAAAGTCAGAGCATGGTGAAGCCACGCACAGGTAGACCATGGCTAGTTCTCTATGCTGCTTTATTACCTTCTTTCCTGCTTCTGTTCTCTGGCAGCTGTGATTCACACACGCCACGGAGCGCTGCATTTTCTGACAGAGACACGGCTTCAATAGTCATCCGGTCTTTACCTACTAGGGCCGTCTGCCTCAGTTCTGTGGGTGCTGACTGGTTTGTGGTCACTGATTGTGATACCAAAGAACATTTATCAACTTTCAAATGCTCGGCTCTTTGACCAGTCTCATTATTGAGGCTCAAACAAGTAGAATCCCAGTCTGAAGGATCTGAAAACAAAGTTTCCACTTATTAGAATGTGAGTAACAACACAAACTTGACTAACTTGTACGAATTCTCTTTCCAGAGCAGCAGTCCCACGTCCTCCTCTTCCCCCAAACACACTGCTCCTTCCCGGCTGTTTGTACTTTAAATGTCATTGCTGTTCACATAGGGAACCACTGTCTCTCTTTTTTCTACTTTTAATTTCCTGGTATTACTTATTTGGACTCACTCATCACTCTCTATAAAACAGTCTATATTCCACAAGACCTTTATGAATAATTATGATTCTTCTTCATATGAATTTTTTCATTCACAAAATGTATGTCTAACCAGCCACTTACTAGACGTTTAAATATGCATGACAGTATTGTGTCCTAGAGACATGGGCATT